CCCCCCCCCCCCCGGGGCCAGCTGCCTCTAGAGTCCTGTGGTCTGGGGACAGTGCCAAGGGGGCGGGAGGTGCCCAGCCTTCCCTGTGCCAACCCCCAGGGCAGGTGGGGGAGGGAGGACAGCAGGGCCAAGATGGGGTATCTGGAAGGAGAGACAAAGGAAATCACCGGCAGGTACCATCTGGTGCCCAGGGCCCTGATGCCAAGAACTGAGGTCGCTCCAATGCCAGGGGTGAGGGGAGGAGGCAGGGGAGGGGTTGGAGGGAAGGGAGAGGCAGGGCCAGCCTGCGTGTGCTGGGCAAGATTGAAGCCTGGGAGGTGGAAGGTCCAAGTCTCACATCCAGCTTGCCGCCTGACCGCCCCCCAGACCCACAGAGGAAAGGGGGTGTCCAACCTGGCAGGGTGGGAGGGGGAGTCCAAGCTGTCCAAGCAGGGTCTGTGTCACCCAGCCTCACCTTCCCCTGTTCTGCAGGACAGGGTGCATGCACCCCTCCACCCCTACCCACCCCCCAGGAGGGGACTGAGCACCTGGAGACTCAAGCAGGGAGCTGTGAACAGCAGTGGGAGCTGTCCCTCCCCTGCACTGCAGGGGGGCGGGGGGGCAGGGCACCCAGTCACCCCTGAGAAAACCCCCTCACCCAGCCCACAGTGGGTCAGACTCTGATGCAGAGAAAGAGGCCAGAGCCTTAATTAATAATACTTTTAATAAAATTAAGTTCTTAATAGCACATTTAATACATTAACCCTCCCCCTTCTTGGTTTCTCTGCATTTTGTGCAACATTACTTTGACTTGATTATTCATGGGTCCGTTTCATTTCCCGCCTTTATTTTGCTTTTGAAATCTTTTTCCTCGGTGGGTTTGTATGTGTCTTCGCTAGATGCCTCAAATTAAGTCTGACCACAATCCTACGCTACTTTCTACAGTGGAGAGACTGTCCCCCTGCCCCAGGGCCGTCTCCCCCCCCACCCTACCCCACCCGCACCCTCCAGTGGGAAGGGGAAACCCTCCCCACCCCAGACTACCTTCCCGAACTAGCGGGGTTTCTAGGACAAAAAGAGCAGGGGGGGGGGAATCTCCCTAGGTGGGGTGAGAAGAGTAAATTGGGGAGAGGGAGATGTGATGGGGGGGGCCTAGGGCCAGGGAGGGGCATGACGGAGTCACTGGTGTCAAGGAGCAGCCTCCACGTGCCCAAAGCAGAGCCGAGGGGCCCCCGCCACCCCCTTGGACAGGAGGGCCCACCCTGAGCTGGGGCCGCTAGAAGGCAAGTGCTAAGAAAGATTCGCGGGTTTCTTACATGCAAAAGCCAAGCTCCCCAGTCTTCTGTGGGGAGGGTGCTGTCCCCTCGGCGGGTGGCCTCTACCTGACCGCTCACAGCTGGGGGTGGGCTGAAACACAGGGGTAGAGGCAGGGTCCCCCGAAGTCCCTGCTGCCCTCCCCCTGCCTTCGTACCCCTGGGAGCCCTGTTCTCCCAGGCCTTCAAGGACAGCATCTCCCCTATACCCCAGTGGTGGGAAGTCCTTCTTGGAGTCTAACTTCTTTGAGACAATACAGCAAACCTGTGGAGAGAAGGGGCACAGTGCAGCTGTAAAGAACCATTACCGAGACTGCGACCTCCACCACCGCCTCGGAGGCCAAAAGCTACGTGGAATATTGGATAGGAACGAGGACGGGGGTGCCGACCCCCTCAGTCCTCTCGAAGCTCTACGACCGTGGGAAGCGTGTGCGAATCTGTTTCTAGAATGACCTACCAGGCTCTTGAATCAATCCGTAGCGGGGTGGATGGAGGCTACTCTTCAAGAAGGACTTCCTTGGGCCTGGGAGAAGCAGGCTCCACCCTCCCTGAGACCCCGAGAGGACACCCCACTTTGGAGTAAGGGCTGCTCTGCAGAGACCAGGGATGCGCCTGATGGCAGGCCCCCAGGTGCAAGGGCACAGAGCAGGAGAAATGTGCTCACCTTCTCTGCCGCCCCGCCCAGCTCCCATGCGGTTGAAATGATCAATGCCATCTTTCAAAGACCCTGGGGACCGAGCCCCTCATCTATTTGTCCTACAATTTAAAAATCCAAGGATTCTCAGAATCAACCCCAGCAGACTGGAAGCTCCCCACCTGAACTAGCAACCTGCTCGCACCCGGATACCTGGACATGGGCGAGTTCTCACATGCAGGGTGGAATTGACCGCTTCCCTCACCTACTTTCCTTTTTCGTTACAACTTTTATACATTCTACTGGACCCAGGGGCCCTCAATGCTACTAAACTTTAAGCTATCTGAATATTGTCTACTAAGTAACTAGTAATTCTTTCTTTTTCTCTAGGATTATATGAAATAAATTTGAATTATTATTATTAATAATTATTATTTTGTAGTATTCTTTTCTTTTAAACCCCTCGGTTTCTTTCTTTTTCTTCTCTCTCTCTCTCTCTCTCTCTCT